CTTACTTCTTGCTAAGATAACAAGGTGTAGAGCTGGATGAACACAGCAGGCCAAGCAGCATCAGAGGAGCAGGAATGCTGACGTTTCGGGTCAGGACCCTTCTTCAGGACCCTGCTACTCTCCTGCTGTGTTCATCCAGCTCTACATCTTGTTATCTCAGATTCTCCAGCATCAGCAGTTCCTACTATCTCTGAATCCACTTATTTCTTGCTTCCTGTTTTATTTGCTGCAGGGTGACACTTGCAACATTACGAATGAATTAAGGGGAAGACATGGTGGCTTTGTGATAACGTTGTTGAACGCATAATCCAGAGGTGCAATTAATTCATTTATATTCACTCATGGTGTGTGGGTGTCCCTGGCGTACATATATTGCTCATATTGAATTCCCCTGGAGTAAGTTGTGGTTCTTGAACTGCTGCAGTCATTTAGTTGTAGTGACGCATGTAATGCCATTAGGAAAGGCATTCCAGGATTTTTGTACAGTGACATGGAAGGAACATTGATATACTTCCAAACCAAGATGGTACCTGGTTTGGAGGGAACTTGCCTGTGGCACTGTTTCCATGCATTTGCTGCCCTTGTCCTTCTAGGTGGTAGAGAATATGGGTTTTGTCGATGTTGCTTAAGGAACCTTTGTGAGTTGCTACAATGAACACTGTAAATAGTACACATTGCTGCTACGGAACACCACTTTGGTGCTGCAAGAATGAATGTTAAAGATTGTGGATGCGCTGTCAATCAAGTGGCTGCTTTGTCCTGGATGGTGTCTCCTGACATGGACCATGTAGATGGTAAACAGGCTTCAGGGGGACAGGAGGTGGTTTATTTGTTGACAATCTAAGGAAAACATTTCAAATCCCATTATGGAAGTCAGAATTTAAAGAACTGGTGGAATTTAGATTTAATTAATAAACCTGGAATATAAAGATAGCCTCAGTAACGATGACCATGACATCTACCATAACTTATTGTAAAAACCCATCTGGCTTGCTAATATCCTTTAGGGAAGAAAATCTCCTATCTTTGCTGAGCCTAGTCTACACATGACTTCAGATCCACAGCAATCAACTGCACTCTAAAATGCCTGAGCAAACCACTAAGTTCGAGGGCAATTAGGGATGGGAAATAAATGCTGATCTCACCAACAATGTCCATATTCCAGGAAGGAATAAAGACTTATACATAATAATAAGATTATTGATGGACTAATGTTTTTTATCTATAAGGCAATCTGCTAACCCTAAAAGAAAATGTGGTACATATCTTCATTATGCCTACTACTAAATTTACGTAAAATTAATTGCAACCTAAGTTTAACCAGTTAAAATCTTCAATTTTAAAGTTTTTGAAAAGATACCTAAAACTAGCAAAACCGGTGTAATGAACAAGATACCATTCAAGGACTGTGAGAAACATTACATGGGCCAAACCAGAAGAAAACTGACAATATGGATACACAAACACCAACTAGTCACCAAGAGACACAACCAATTCTCACTTGTCTCACTACACATGGATAATGAGGGACACAAATTCGACAGAGACAACACATTCATAATTGCACGAGCCAAACAGAGACATGCCAGGGAATTCCTGGAGGCTTGGTATCCAACCAGAATCCATCATCAAACACATTGAATTAGACCCTGTGTACAAACCACAGAGAAACAGAACTGGAAGTGGTACCAAACACCCCAAAAAACTGAGGCACATAAATAACAAGCGGGACAGAACACCAACGCTTCACCAGAGGTGGACTGACAATGTTACCTCGCAGGGTGACAGAATGTTTGCAACCAAACCCACCACTTGATGAACATATCTACAACATAATCTTCACTTTTATCGTTGCACTAATATTCTTTCTTGCAACATTTATGTTCCATTGTGTTTCCATATATTCTTAGAGATTGACAGATTTCCTTTTGCACATGCTGCATTTTCCCCCAAATTTTGCCAAAATGCCCACTACAAGCAGATTCTAACTTATTTTGGTGCTTTAAGTTGCAGACTGTGGCCTTTTCAATTGTCATTTTATTTCACCTTATGTCATCTAGTGTACTTACAAATTCAGAAGTTAAATCCACAAGAGGCAAAATAAAACATCTTCTCCATCCCATCAGTGTTCAGATAATAGAGAGTGGGTGCATAGTGCAATTGCTCCTGGATTAGTAATCCAGACAAGCATTGCAGCAAATGGAATTTGAAGGCAATGACTAAAGTTGAAAGCTAATAGTGTTGTGACAAATGTCATTGATTGTTATGAAAGTCTATTTGATTTACTAATCCCTTTCAGGGAAGAATAGTCTGCCATCCTTATCCAATCTGGTGTACATGTGATTTCAGACCTGTAGCAGTGTGGTTGACTTTGAACTGCCATCTGATATGGCTTAGCAAGCCCATAGTTTAAGGGAAATGAGACATGGAAACAAATGCTGATCTTGCCACTGATGCTAATATTCCATGAATGAATAAAAAATGAAAATGATATATACAAACATGAAACCATTTGTACCTGTTCTTCAAACAAGTTTTATGTTGTCTAATACTGCAAAGCACGTGACTGAGTGATAAGCTCAGACTTTTAGTCACTGATTTGAAGAACAAATACCTTGGTGGCAATGGAAAGTTCGTTTTACCATAGGTTGGATTTTTTTTTTGTTAGAGCAGGTAAGAACCAGTCATCTACACACTGAATCTTCCTGATCATTTAGTTCAAAAGGAAAATTCCCTACTTAAACCTTTCACTCCAGCTATTTGATAATTGAGAAGGAAGTGGGTGTGATAATGATTCTGGGAAAGACGACTCTTGTGGTGCAGTTGTAGAGTCACTACCTCTGAGCCTGAAGACACAGATTTATATCATATCTACTCCATAAGTATGTCATGACATATCTGAGCAGACTAATTAAAAATATATGATACCGGTATCACTGATAGTGAAAGCCCTAATTGAGAATATACCTGGACCTAGTAATACCAACCACAGCCAGCCACGACATTGGGACTTAAGGTTAGGTTCACAGATGGTTACAGAGAAGAAGGAGCTTAATTCTTTCCATCTGTGCTCATCCTCTGAAGGAGGAATTCACCTGCTTTTCAATTCCCCTCTTCTATCTTCAGCCTGGGTCATAATTGTTACAGTCACCTAGTATCTGTCATGAGAACACATTTTCTGCTCCATCTTGATCTCTTTCTCTTTTCCATTCAGGGAATTCTGGATTTGTTTGCCCTGCTGTTTTCCTTTGTGGGAATATACCTTGAATGGACTTGAACCCTCTCTTATTTAAAGGCAGCCCATAGTTGAGTTGCAGATTTGCTGATCTTTCAATCTTTGCCAGATTTATTGCCATTCCATTGAAATTGTCTTGCTCCCAATTAATTATGCTTCTTCTGAATTGCTCTTCACCCTTTTCCATTGCCAGCCTAAACTTTATTATGCAATGATCATTGTCCCCAGAGTTCTTCCACTAACACTTGGTTCACCTCATTCCCAAGAAATTGGTCTGGCAGTGCTTCATTTCTTATTGGACTGGAAATGTGCTGCTCTAAAAAAATTGCTTGAACACACTTGAGGAACACTTGCTCCTCTGCTATTTATATTACTGCCATTGCAGACTGTATCCTGATAATTAAAGTCCTCCATCATAACTACTCTGTAATCTTGCACTTTTCAGTAGTTTCCTTACTTGTTTTCCCCCTACATTTTCCCATCTAGTTGGTGGGCCACAGGTAACAATGAGCAATGTAATTGCACCTATTTTTATTTCAGGCAACCAGATTCTGTCCTTGACCTCTCTGGGACATCCTCTCTCTCCAGTATTGCGATGACCTCCTTAATAAATATTGCCACCTCTCCTCCTTCCTTGCCCTACTATTTTTCCTTTGTAACCAGGAAAATCAAAAAGGTGGTCCCTTCTTGTTTGATCTAGGTCTCTATTATCTTCCTCCATTACTCACCAATCTTATCCACCACAGGCAGTCCATTCACAAACATGAAACAGTTATATTTCGTGGTTCCATCCTTAAGTCTGGGAATCAGATGTCAACAACAATACATTTATATAACGCCTTTAACAGAATAAAATATCCCAAAAAGTGGACGGGAGGATTACAAAACTAGCCAAACAAGGAAGAGCAAAAACAAGCTGCTGGAAAAGTTCAGCAGGTCTGGCAGCATCTGTGAAGGGAAATACAGAGTTAACGTTTCGGGTCCGGTGTCCCTTCCTCAGAACAAGGAGGACTTTGGTCTTGATAACACAGCTTGGTTTTAGGAATGTCTTCAAGGAGTAAACGCGGGACAAAATGTTGGAGGGACTTAGGGAGAGGGTGAATTGCAGAGCGCCTGAAGACACAACAAGCAGTGACAGAGGGATGAAGATCGGGTATTCTCAAGATGTCAGAACGTTTTACACTTTCATCTCCAGCATGAGCTGCCAACAGGCCAGCCCACTGTACGTTTCAGTGAGAATAAATACATAGGCTACATCCAACCGAGGCAAGACGCGCTCTGCTGAATTTGTCCTTTCACATTTTCCCGATCAAAGGCACCTTCTGCTTCAGCACCTTGGACAGCGGCAGTACGCAGGCGCACACGGGGCGGGGCCAAGCGGCCCGCCTTCCATTGCCCGGCCTTTTGATTGATATATTCAGCAACCATTGGAGCAGGAGGGGCGTCCGGTGGAGGGGTGGGGAGGCCAATGGGAAGCTGTAGGGGGCGGGCCAGGCAGGTTGGTTCATTCAAACGGCGGCTGCTTCTTGTCTTCGAAGCAGAGAAAGCAGGAGGCAGCCCGGGGCCAGCTGCTTCTGTATTGGGGCGCACTACCTTGGGGCATCGTCCTCAATCCAGAGGGATGTTCAATCTGAGTCAACCCAACTCACACCAGAGGCTGATAGCTGCGGGATTACAGGGGCTGGGTGTGGCTTTAGTTGGGGAACTTTCCCAGCGGCTGCATGATATCTGCAGGGAGCCACTGCAACGGCCAGAGTAGTAGGTGATGGATGAAGCCGGGGCCAATGCTACTGTTGCAAGGATTTCCAACTCCAGCATGATGCTGGGGCCACGGAATTCCAATCTGTTTGACATTGATATCTCTGGGAACGGCTCCCCGGCTTTGAGAATCAGCATTTCCATCACCTACTCCATCGTGTGTGCCATTGGCTTGGTGGGCAACTTGCTGGTCTTCTTCCTGATGAGAGTGAAGCAAGGGCGCAAGAATTCCACCATCAACTTCTTCATCCTCAACTTGGCGGTGACCGACTTCCAGTTTGTACTGACCTTGCCGTTCTGGGCGGTGGACACGGCTCTGGACTTTAGCTGGCCCTTCGGGGACGCCATGTGTAAGATCATCCTGTCGATCACCGTGATGAACATGTATGCCAGTGTCTTCTTCCTCACCGCCATGGCCATGGCCCGCTATTGGTCGGTGGCCTCGGCTCTCAGGTCCCGGAGGAGCCGCCTGCAGTGCTCGGTCAGATGGGTCAGCTTGCTGCTTTGGCTGGCGGCCAGTGTGGCCACTCTGCCCACCGCTGTGTTTGCCAGAACCATGCCCTTGGACGGCGAGAAACTGTGCCTGCTCAATTTTCCTGACGACGGCCAGTACTGGCTTGCGCTGTACCATATCCAGAAGATCACGCTGGCGTTTGTCCTGCCCATGATCACCCTGTCGGTCTGTTATTTTCTCCTGCTCCGAATCCTGGCTCAGCACCACATCAGCAGCAACAATCCCAGGAGAAAGTCCCGAGTCACCAGGTCCATCACCGTGCTCATGCTAGCTTTCTTTCTGTGTTGGCTTCCCAATCACGTTATCACCCTCTGGGGCGTCCTGGTTAAACTCAATGCGGTGCCTTGGGACAAAACCTACTATACTTTACACGCTTATGTGTTCCCAGTCACTGTCTGCTTGGCGCACACCAACAGTTGCCTGAATCCGGTGCTGTACTGCTTACTGAGGAGAGATTTCCGCCAGTCCATGAGGAAGATCTTCTGGAAGATATCTTCGCCCGGCCTCAGCCACGCTTGTGCCATCCGACCCTACTCCGGCCCCTTCAAAGCCGAGCTCCCTGTGGGAATCCCTCTGAACGTCATGGAGGGAGAGCGCTGTCAGTCATCCTCCCAGTGTAACAGGCGGCGTGAGGGCACTGTGTCCAAGTGCAGCGTCTAGGAAAACTCCATGTAATCTTGTGCTGTGTATGTGTGTGTGTGTGTGTGTGTGTGTGTGTGTATGTGTATGTGTGTGAGTGTGTGTGTGTATATGTGTATGTGTGTGTGTATGTGTATGTGTGTGAGTGTGTGTGTGCATGTGTGTGTGTGTGTGGCCTCTGCTCCTGCTCAGGCGTTGGGTTCAGGGAATAACCGTGTACCTGAGGCAGCCAGAAAGGGAGAGAACTTCACAGCAGATTCACAAAGCACGGGCTCAACTGATTCCCTACCCACCCCACCCCCCACCCTGCCCCTGAAGCAGGGATCATCTGCCTTTGCAGCATTGAACATGGATCGTTTCTCCCCTTTTGTTTGGAATGATTTAATGAGTTTTTATCTGGCAGTGGGCATTAAGGAACCCAGCCTCCCGGGAGCAGGGGGATCTGATTGATTCTGCGATTTAAACACACGGGGTGGAGAGGGGAGATTCCTTCGCTTGAACTTTTACAGCAGTCACTACCCGCTGGGCATTGACCATCCGCTGCTTCCGAGTTTCGTTGGAATGGAGGCGATTTTAGCTTCTGCGGGCGCTGGTCTGAATGGCAATGAGTGGGATTAGAGGAGCTGGATGTCTGATGCCCGGTGCAGGCATGTTGGGTGGGTGGGGGGAAGGGGGGGTTCGGGGGAGTGTGGTGGGGCGAATGACTTCTTTCCGTGCTGTTTAAAAAACTCTCGGACTATTCAATTTTTTTTCTCATACCTGTTTGGTATTTCTCACGTTAAGCAACTGGCTCGCCAACATAATGAAAACGGCTGTGGGGTTAACTGTAGGATTTTGAGAAACTGAGCGATTTCCTTTGGAATTCGTTGTCGAGTTTAAGAAAGTAACTGCGGAATATTTAAGGATTTGTCCGACGTGGCGCTACTTCTTGTACATTTCCGTTCATTTACATTCAGTCGCGGTTTCCGATGTGTGTCTAACTGTGCGTTAAAGTGTGTGTGTGTCATATAAATTCATGACACACTTTTTCATTGAGAATGCGCCAAAATAACCTGATTGTGACAATTCTCTTTTTAATATTAAAGACTAAAATAAAACAACTGATGACTGACCCCCCCCCCCCCCCCCCCCACCCCGCCTCCAAACCCTTTCCGCTGCTGTGCTGTACCCATTCTGCGAGCTGAAATTTCAGGAGGATAAGGAAATCATTCTCAGCATCTTCACTGATGAGGATTCTGTGTTTGTCAACCTCAATGCAACCAAGTTCTTAGATTTCAAAATATTTGATTTTTGAGCCATACTGCAAGTCGGTTAGGATTCTTTGACTCTTTCCAACAAAGAAGAGTCATAATCATGTATGTGAATAGATTTTGTTTTCATTGTCGTGAACTTTCAAGAAAATATACATTTTTCCACTCTGTGCCAGGCGATTTATTTTCCAACAGGCAGGACTGCAGACTGGGATTGAAGGCTGGCCGTTCAGAGCCCCCTGGCGGAGCAACATCCAATTACACGGTCTCCTCCAGCATCACAAACTTCAAACAACCGCCAAACTTTAAACAGACCATTTGTTTGCAGTAAACTACCCAGCCCTTAGGACAAGATCGACCACAACCCTATACAACCCTGTCATGGTAACCTCTGCAAGACATGTCAGATCTTAGACATGGACACTACCATCACATGTGGGAACACCACCCACCACGTGCGCGGCAGATACTCATGTGAGGGAGACAAACAGGAGGCTGGAAGAACACAGCAGGCCAGGCAGCATCCAGAGGGAAGGAGCAGTCAACATTTTGGGTATTACCCTTCTTCAGGACTGGATGTAGGGGTAGTGGGAGCTGCAGGTAAAGAGGGGTGAGAGGGGTGGAGGTGGAATGGTGATGATAGGCGCACACTGGTGGTAGGTACAACCTGGCTTATCGATGGGACAGGTGAATCTGTATAGTGGCTGAAAGGGAAGGTTAGTAGATGGAATGGAAGGGAGGAGTTGGGGCCAGAAGGGGGTGTGGGGCTGGGTGGGAAGAATTTTTGAAATTGGAGAACTCAATGTTGATACAGTCTTGCTCTTCAAATCTGCATTCTGGATCACTGTGACACTGGAGGAGACTGAAGATGGACATGACGGAGGGGGAGTGTGTGGGGAGTTCATATGAGCAGTGACCGGGAGGTTAGGTTGGCCGTTATAGGCCAGGTGGAGATGCTCGGTGAAACGGTCACCTAGTCTACGTTTGGTCTCACTGGTGTAGAGAAGACCACATCTGGAGCACCAGATGCAATAGACTAGGTTGGAGGAGATGCATGTGTAGCTCTGTCTCACTTGAAAGGGCTGTTTAGGGCCCTGAATGGAGGTGAAGGAGGTGGTGTGTGGACAGGTGTTGCATCTTTTCTGCTTACAGGGGAAGGTACCCAGTGGGTTGGAGTGGTTGGTGGGGAGTGTGGCGTGAACTAAGGAGTGGTGAATGGACTGGTCCTTGAGGAGGGTAGAGAGGGGTGGGGAGTGGAAGATGTTCTGGGAGTTGGGGTCTAATTGGAGTTGGCAGAAGTATTTGAGGATGATACATTGGATGCGGAGGCTGTTGGGTGGAAAGTGAGGACAAGGGGGACCCTATCTTTATTATGTTTGTAAGGGGGATGGTGGGTACGAGCTGTCGAGCTGGGAATGGAGGAAGCGCGGTGGACGGCTCATGTGATTCGGCCAACAATGTCTATCTCATACACTGCAGGCAAGGATGCCCTGAGGCATGGTTTCTTGGTGAAACCATGCAGATGCTACGACAACAGATGAATGGACACCGCACAACAATCACCAGACAGGAATGTGCCCTCCCAATGGGGGAACACTTCAGCGGTCAAGGACATTTGGTCTTCGATCTTTGGGTAAACGTCTTCTAAGGCGGACTTTGGGATACACAACAACAGAGTTGCCAAGCAGAGGCTGATAGCCAAGTTCCGTACCCATGAGGACAGCCTGAACCGGGATCTTGGGTTCATGTCGTACCACAGGTGACCTCACCACACTATACACTCTCACACACACACACTGACACACACATTCATATACACACACACACTCACAGACACACA